GAAAGTTCATCAAATTGTAAGGATAAGAACATCTAAAAATTTTGCAATGCATTCATTGTCTTGCACTGAGGCTTTATAATAAGTGCTTTTTTTATACTTTCTTTGAATTTATTTATAGTTTACTCTTGGATATTGCTTGGGACTTTATTGTATAAGCGAACACAGAGACCTTTAAATGAATTATTGATTTTGTGAAGCCTAGTAGCAGATAAAGTTAATTTATTTTTGTTTCTTGTATTAAGTGTGTAAACATCGCTGTTTTTAAGAATCATATTTTTTCTTAGTAACGCCTTTTCCAGATATTAAGAAAAGGTCCAATAGCAACATAAGATTTGAAGAAACAAAGACTCTTCTTTTATGATTCAGATTGTTGTGAAAAAAATATAATTATTTATAGAATTTAGAATTTTATTGTTATCTCAAAAACATGCAATACAAAGTACATGTTATGAAACTAATATTTTTGACAAATAATATTTTTTAATAAAATTTTAATTCAAGTTTGAGTTAAGAAGAAAGATTTGTGAAGACAGTAAAAAAGATTTCGATAGTAGAAAAAACTCTAGTTTCATGATACAGACAGTAATGGCGAAAATTATAATATTTATTATTGAAATTAAATTTTAGGTTACTAGGTAGGCATGATGGAGCAATGATAAGAGGTACACACTTTTTTTTAATATCAGAGCAATGCTGCATTCTAAAGACGGTTCCTAAGCTACGCTACAAAATTTTCACTTTCAGTTAAATAAATTTTCACGCAAGGTTTGTAATTATATGAAGAAACTCGTGTATAATACAAGCCTGAGAACAAAACTATAGTCTACACTACAGCTCGACACCGAAGCGAAGCGAGGGCCGGCCACTATTCTTTTAAATATTTGTTTATGCACATACACCTTCACACCATTCAACTCTCGGCACGTGCTCACCTGACATTTATCTAATTTATTTTCCCAAATCTGATGGAGTTGCATATGAATATTGTCTAGGGCCGAAATACTTATTAAGACAAATCAAACGAGCCCAAATTCGATGCGGTTAAGTCGTTTTATTACGGCGATCCTATGGCCACCCTCCAAATTCGTCATCCAACCCTGATTACCATTTAGGACCAAAGTACTCGTCAAGACCAATCAACCAAGCCCAAACTTGATGGGAGTATTTCGTTTTATTTCTACGGTCACCTTCCAGCTCCATCATCAGACTGGATACCATCTAGAGACAAAGTACTTATGAAGACGAATCAAACAAGCATAAACTCGATGCGGTTCAGTCGTTTTATTACGGAGTTCCTAAGGCCACCTTCCAGCTCCATCATCAGACCCTGGACCCATCTAAAGACAAAGTACTCGTCACATGTCAAGACGAATAAAAAGAAACCAAACTTGTTTATTAACAGAATTCCTATGTCCACCTTCCAGATCCATCATCACATCAGCTTCGTGTCATCATAATATTGCATTGTCACGCGATATACGTATGCTTGCAAAATTCCAGCTCAATAGGAAACCAGCAAATTTAACTTGCAAGGTTCCATTACACACAACCACCAGGTTGGAATAGAAATGGAAATTTGAAAAATATTATTACCTTTATATTTTCGTCCGGCTAAAATTTCGAATAGTAACTAACTGCGTTTAAAAATATACAAAATCGTTTTATTATATTTCTAGAAAATGTTTATATTCTATAAAAAAATAACACCATACGCATTATAAACATGTATCCATAATAATTCCACTCTAAATAAGGACTCATTACATCCGCAAGTTGAATAACTTAATAATAATCGAGTTTTAAACGAGTTTATATGTAATAGCAAATTAGGTTTAGCTCCAAGACTTCAACTTGGAATAATTTGCTTGCAGCCGAGTAAGATGCAATCAACAATTTACTAGACAACTAACGTAGGAAATTTAATATCGTGTAAAAAGTTATAAAATTGATCTTCTAACTATCATGTCGGGAAGTTAACAAGGTTGTTATGGTCAAACTCACTTAGTTTGTTGAATACGTATTATTTGATTTTGCTCCTTATTTCAGAAAGTTATTGCAGATAAAATTGAACGGTTAAGTATAGTTCCAGGAAATCAAGACGGGTATGAACTCACTTTTCACCGCGGAGTTCGCCGATGTGATTTTAAATTTATTTGAAATATTCGTGTTAAAGCGTGTTCTAAATTTTTAGCACTCCGCAGATTTCGAGATGTAGAGTGAGTTTGGCATAAGAGAATAGCACTGCTATTGATTGGTGGATGTTAACGACTACAATTACATTCGCGAACCGGATACAAAAGGTTTTTGGTCACCTATGACTAGCCATTCCAAAAGATGCTTAGGTATATAAATAACTTCCACGATCCCAGACCGAATGGGGTAAACATTTCGCAAGCAGCCCCTTGATACATATTTACACAAGAATATTAATTTGTACTTATTTTCTAACAAGACTACGGCATGTTACTCCAAAATTTCAAAATGTGCCTTTTTAAAGAATTCATATTCAAGTAGACCTTTTTACAGTTTTGTATTGCCTAAAATCCTGCAGTGCTTATACACTTAATTAAAAACATGTACATGTATTATAATCATCTACAACTTAATTTTTCCTATGAGCAGCTTTCTCGTTCCATTCCCATTAGCAGTTACCTCATTAAAGTCGAAGTGATGAGTACGGAAATCTAATTTATAACACTTTGTGATTATTATTATGAGAGTAGATAGGATTTCTTCTTATCTTACACAGTTTTATGTATTGAAGTGCTTTTTGAGAAAGCTTTAAACTTAAGATGATTCTGTGAGTGACATACAATAAATTAATATTATTAATCTCAACCGTCCCGGCTGACGCGGGCTTTGCAAATATACCATTACTGATAAGTGTTTGTATATGTAACATTATAATCAAAATCATTTATTCAGTTTAGGCTGTTACATATGAATGTCTAGAAGCTGCGCCATCGGTTCGTAAATCTACGGCGGGAGACCATGTACTGAGAAGAACCGGCAAGAAACTCAGCAAGGGCTAATTTTTTCTCCCTGTTTTATCATTTACAGAGTCAACTTTCATTACATAATGTGAAATTATATATTAATTGTTCACCTGCATTTTGATTGCTGTGTCACACATTATAAATACAAACGGAGTTATTTATAATAGGTGTAATTAAACATTTACATCTTAAATATCAAAGTAGTTAGGGCAGACTCATCTCCATCAAGTGATTTAAATTTAAAAAACGGCAAATTTTATGAAGTTTCTTTTTTTAATTTTAGGTACTATGCTTTTTTAAAGAATAAGTCATATGATCGATAAGCCATTCGATTGATATATATAGGTAGAATAAAATTACATGAAATATTTTTTCACATTTTCCGTGCTTAAATCGCGGTTCAGATAGACAATTATTTAAAAATTTGTTAAATATAGTTCGTATCGTTACGTACGTTCTACATAGATATCTATAGACAGATTCCATAGTAGGCTATTTTAGTAATCCTAATTAATATTGGTTTCGGTTTTGTTAAATCCTATTTTTTTTGACCTCCCAAAAAAGGAAAAGTAACCTACCTACTCGGTGGTAACTATTATTAAAAATTATTCCATGACAAATGCTAGCTCTTGTACACTACATACTCACTATGTTTTATTAAGATACAAACATATTGACAATGCCCTCCGTGTCCGAGTGCTATGTACGCCGAGTTTCAAAGTGTCGCCTACTCGTGAGGATGTCCTGGGTTTGAATCCCGGTGGAGCAAATATTAGTATGATGAATACGAGCATTTGCACCTAAGTCATGGATGGTGTTTTATGTATTCCCATAACACAGCTTAATTTGGTGCTAGGCTAATTGGTGTGAGTGTTGGAAATATTATTATTATTATTATTATTATTATTATTATTATTATTATTATTATTATTGTCAGCAGTTTTCAATATTAACTGTTTATGTTCGTTTCGCACTTCAACGTTTTATAAGGTACTAGCGGCCCGCTCTCGCTTCGCTTAGGTGTAGAGCTGAAGTGTAGACTACAGTTTTTGTTCTCAGGCTTGTATTATACACAATGACATTCATCTATGATTCTTCTTATACCTGATGCAAAGTCTCAGCCCGATCGGTTTAAAATTGATAAAGTTTCATACAAACTTTCATTCCCTATTTTATCCCCTTGATGATCAAAATCCTTTCTTAGCGGATGCCTACGTCATAACATCTACCTGCATGCCAAATTTCAGCCCGATCCGTCCAGTGGTTTGGGCTGTGCGTTGATAGATCACTATGTCAGTCAGTCACTTTTGAGTTTTATATATATAGATTTCGTTAAGGATATTTGCGAATTTTTGTCTTTTAAATTTTTTTTGGAGGAACTTAATATAAGTATTTAAAACAAGTTATAATCTAATGGAGTTGGAAATTATAAAAATCAGTACCTATATCATTGATAAATAATTTATAGTTGCCCCTAGAGCAATTATCCGCAAAAATGAATAGGGTGGCTATTAATTTAGTGATAGATACTTGCCCTTTATTTTTACAAATAGATGTCATAAAACATTAGAAACAGTGTAATTTGAATCTAGTGCATCTAAAGTAACCAAAACTTAAATCCCCCTTAAACTGAATCATCAGTTTAAAAAATATTCAATATAATGTACTCATAAAGATAATTACGATGTTTGTTAAAGTTTTGCAGCGGAATTTGCTTTTTTCTCACAGGGACAAAAACGCATGCGCCTCTACAACTTACATGACATTAAAATCTGCGGGTAAGATTATGTTATAGAAAAGTATTTACGCCACCAACATCCCTTAATCAAAACCAGGGCATATGTCATGTATCCAACTGCGGCGACTATCACAAAGTCGGGACTGTCTGTATATAAGGCAAAGTCTGCTTGCTTGATTTTTAAATTTTCGGTTTTGCTAAAACCAAGTTAGGTACTTACTTAGGTAATTTTGTAATGAATTAATGAGCTTTTTCTATTGTTGCAGCGACCAGAAAACCTCGAGTCACCGCTGTCAGCTCCACGCGACAAAAGTAGCGTGTACGCTATGAATGATCAGGTAAACTAATGTTTAAATTTTGTTAAAGAATAACTGCTATTACATTGCAACAAAAACATTATTCTTAATGTATTATTTAAGATAGCTAGTTTCAAGCGATTTCACAATCGCGTATTCTGATATAATACAGCCTACGCTACGGTCGGCAGTCGGCTTTTGTCAAATATTTTTATCGGGCAGGAAAATGTCTGTCGTTTCCGTTAGTTATTGAATATAAATCTTGTGAATGCTACTATCATAACCTACCCACTAAAAAGATAATACTTAGGGCATACTGAAAGTTGAAGACCAAGCACCTCGAGCCTCTGCGTCATTAACCGCGTTAATTTATCTATAACATACCATGTCGAATGTTCTGAGGAGTTATTCTCCCTTATCCCACCTTCCCCTTTCCTTCAGAGGGCCTTGCGCATTGGCCTACATTTTCATTAGCACTGACTTACAGTAACCACTATTCCAACGCGAGCGACGAAATTCGTTGACTCATTTCTTTGTCACACTATCCGGAAATGGAATGTTCCCTCCCACCTACAACCCGGGATCCTTTAAAAAAGACGTGAAAAAGCAGTGTACAGGCCGGCAAGGTGAGGATGACTAGTGTAGCAAGTAACACTGCTATTCCAGCTATCTTCGCGTCTGGACTCCACCGCTACACACATCAGGTGGGGTGGAGTCATTTGTCGGACCTATTTATATGGAAAAAAAGTTCTGAAATCTGATAAATAACACTAGGATTTACTTAAGATACATTTATTGTTTTTCAGAGCATATTCCTCACAATTAATGTTATTTTTGCATTCGCTTCAACCATTATACTACATTATAGTACATATGAAGAAAACTTTTCTTCGATTTTATGTTTGTAACTAATGAAAACATCAAGTAAAAAATTTGGGATTGTAAAATGTTATTGGTGTCGATTCTAGCATGATTCTCTAAACCTAAACTTAAATTTGACAGCATTATATCCTTGTCATTCTCTATACAGAATGAAAAGAAGAGACTGATGTTAAATTTAGTTTTAAGTTTACATAATCACGCCAGAATTGGCACCATTGGCTATCAATTTTGTAATATATTCGTCAATTTATAACTAAGAAAATAGTAATAATGATGCTTTTTCTTTCATAAAAAATGTTTACAGACATCCAGCAATGGTTGCCGCTGAAAAACATAGCAAACTCGGGGAAATATTTTTTTAGGCTTATCATTCACAACGTCCACGCAAAGGCTTAAAAAAACAAATTATGTTCTGTACCTAACAATATACAATGTGCGACAATAGAACAAATAACAATAGTACAATTACGTGAAGAGCTTTTATTACCATTAACATTGTAAAGAATTTTTTGTGTCTGTTTCTCACATACACTTTCTTATGTGTAGAATTTTATAAGTATGTATTAAATAACTAGTAGTTATGAAATATTTAGGGTAATGCGTTGCAGGACATATTTATGAAAACACAAAGATTGATCAAAGAGAATCATCATTACAAATTAATTATTTGTAGAATGACTGGACTGGAATTACTAAAAAGTCAATTCTTTTGAAAACGTTATAATCCTAATTAATATTACTTTTTTTAAATATTTGTTCTTTAGTTAAATGTACATACATGTATATTAATATTTTAAATACAAAAGTGAGTTTGTTCATTTGTTTTGAAGTAAAAACTTCTTGAGCAGCGTTGTACACTTTTTTTGTAATGAGTAAAAAATGTTAAACTCGCATCAGGACACGTGGCCTGATCGAAAATTCGTAAGACGAAAACAATAAAATTGAAAAGGTTGTTGACTTTCAATATATTGGACAAAACATAATAATACTTATTTTATCGTATTATATTAATAAGTCTCTAACTAGAACGTCCAAGTAGCAGCTTTATTGCGAATAAAATGCATTTTTTTACAATAGATGCCACTAGGTGCGCTTAAATGTGATTCATGTAAGTTGATTTTTCTGAGAGATAAACTTTTTAATGTAATATAAATAAATTGTCATGATTGTGTACGATAGCGCAATAAATAAATAAATTGTATTCAACCACATTAATGATAGTACTTTTATACTGATAATTAAAGCAATTCGTGCAAAATTATTCCCAACCATTCCAAAATATCAAAAATGCACAACGTTAATATTCAAGTTTTCACTTCTGCCGGCACTCCCGGAGTGCAACCCGTCGTTTTTTGATGTGTAACATCTTTCGTCTCGCTTTCCTGCAATTTGTGGGAGTGATTTCGTGAAATGGGACGGAAGTATGTAACAGGAGGTCGTGAAAGCGCGCGCTATTTGATTTGATTTTAGAACATAATGTTCAAATGGCTTATTCCTTTTGTAGTAGGTTTTATTTCTTTTTTTACTAATATAAGGTGAGGTTTCAAATGTTACACATCATTCGCGACTACTGTAAGGCTCGCTCGTCTTTTTTTTGTTTGTTACGCTTTCACGCCTAAACTACCGAACGGATTTGGATGAAATTAGGAACGCATAAAGTTTGTGACATAAAATACTTTCTACTAATATTTAAAAATCAATAACAATAATTATATTCTATCACTCTTCAATATAAAAGAAACATGTTAAATTCAGTTACATTACATGTTACGGTATTTCCTTATCTACTCAGATATTTATGTCCTTTGAATTTGTCTAACCTGAGTGTCTAGCAGCCGTAATCAGAAACATATTTTTTAGAACGAAGTTCCTTTGCGGCCGGTACAGACTTGGCGGTTCGAAAATAAGTGTAAGATTTTTCCATCACATCACAACCGTCAGTTGTTTGTTTCCTAGCGTATTGTGTGTAATTGTGTACCTACTTAAACTTAGGTTTATTTTTAACTTCGTTCCAACCGAGTGTTCTACGACACTCACGTTTGCCACGGACCACCACTTATGTTTTGCCAGTTTTATTGAAAAATGTAGCATCCGCTGATGAACTACGATTTTATTGTCGGTATTAATCATCTTTAAACAGATCTTACATTTCAATATGTAATTATTCTCGGTAGACTTTTCACACACCATCATTCGGCGATGAGGAATTCGACATCCCAATGATGCACGGACAACACGCTGCCAATGGAGTCGTACAGGGCACGCATATACAGTACACACAGTTACTCCACGCGGCGCCACAGGTACGTAAACAGGTACTAAAATCCAGTATTTTACTAGTAGCCTAGTTTAGTTCAATAAATTTTGACCGGCGCCGGTTCTAGGTTCCAGTGCAGTCGCTCCAGTGTCCGGTCGCTCTCAACGCAAAGGGAGCGATACAACCTATGCGCATAACAATTCCAATTCCCACCTAAAATTAAAAAAACCTTCGCGTAGTCTCCTATGAGCTTAGATTAAAACAAAAAGGGTAGATACGGCACTAGCCTCACAAAAGTGATCCGCATGAATTGTGGTCCACGACCCTAATCGCTTTAGTCACAACTTGACATGCAAACGACGTACATGTGAACGCCAAAAAGGAAAAATTGTTAATATTTTGTGTTTATATGATAAAACAATGCCTAAGTGTGTTTTAAAAAGTGCTGTAATTGCTCAAGAACTAAAAATAAAACCCACGGCATCACTTTTCATTCGTAAGTACTTTATAATATATTTTTTCATAAAAATTGCTGTTTGTTTTGAATCTTATTCGGTAGTGACGTCGAGTACTGGTCGCGTGATTGGTCGGTAGTGCAGTGACGCGATCTCGCCGTCTCGTTCGCGCTGCCCTTGAAACTTAACGTGTTGTTTCGTTCGGGTCGGTAATGCAGTGACGCGGATCTCGCTGTCCCGTTCGCGCTGCCGTGGGATCAGTTTTTGTTTGATGCAAGTATGAGCGTACCGTATCTACCCTTTTGTTTTAATCTAAGCCTATGAGTCTCCCACACATTAGCTCACCTGGTTGCCAAGGTAACGGTTGTTCGTCATTTATCGAATAAAATTATATTCGTGTAATAAAAAATACTGAAGTTGAGGCTGTATGGACCTAGTATTTTTTGCCTTACCAAAAAGGGAAAATATTACTAAAATAAAATAAAAAAGGATGCCCAATCTTATGTATGCAATGAATCGATCATAAAGATCGTAACTTCGTGAATCGTTTTATAGTGTGAATGGGGTTCATTACTGCTATTTTATCACTGCGATCCTAGTATTGTGATATTATTAATCAATGTTAGATACCCCATTATGAAAACATTTAACACCTATATAACTTTTTGTTTCAAACAAAAAAAATGTGAGCCGTCACGGGACGCCTAGCAGATGTGAAACAGAGACATTATTTTGTGAAAGTAATATGGAGAAAAGAACAGATTGCGATAGGAACTAAATATGGCATAATGATAAAATAAAATTTTACGATTTTTTCCCAGAAAATGATAACTAACTATTTATTTAATAAACATTTATTTTCATTTAATACAAAAATCGAATTTGATTGCGCATGGCGACGCATCGCCACACCGTACACACTACTGTATATAGACTGTATATATAGGTACCATCATATAGCGTGGCGACGCGTCGCCACGGCATGAGTTATCATGTTTCACATCAAAAAATAGGTAAGTAATAAATACTTTATTCTAGGTAGATATATGTCCTTGTGCTTTTACTATAAGTATACTACAGTCGCGGCACGTAACGTTTCGTTAAGATGGCCGTTTTGACACATTACCAAAGTTACATGAAAATTCAATTTCTTATCGAATCTAGGTATTATATTTGCTGATAATAAAATAAAATATAAAATGAAAATATAAACTTTTTCTTACGTTCAATGATCTCATATCATGGAGCACCCCCACTAGAGTCCGCATACAAGGCAAGCGCTTACGCCAAGCTTAAGTAGTATTTTACCTATGCGTGAGGCACGCCCGTCGCGATACATCATTTCATTTGGTAACCGAGCGTCGGTCGAACTGCTTCTCTCGTTTTCGTGTTAAAAAACTGTAAAAAATACCTTACTATGCAATAGGCTAGTTGACTCATGTCGAATTGTATTAAATAAATGTTTATTTCTTACAGTATTTGGTCTAAGGAACCTAAATATATCGATTTCACTTCATAAAAGCAGAAGATTGCTGTAGAAATTTAATTTAAAAAAATATTTTTTAGTCTATATTTTTTAAACACTAAAAACGCTGTTCGCTACATCCGCCATGATTGTGACGTCTCTTTCAGTAAACAACTAAATGTCATTCGCGTGTTGTTATGGGTGGATTCTTTAGTCTGAATAAATTTTTCTTAAAACACTTTTAACTTTAGAAAAGTTTCCGTTTACTGTTTTTTTTTGACAAAACTAATTATGGATGCCGGCTTTGTGAAAGCAGAAAGCACAAATCTGCCAAGAATTGACGCATTGATGGTTGGTGAATTTTTTGCACTGAACCCCGATTTCTGCTCTGCGGAGCAGAGAAACGACAAGGCATCTATGTAAGTAAAGTGCATTTAGTATTACAATGTAGTAATAAACATATTACTGATACAACATATGAATTAAGTGTAATAAAGTTGCGTAGGTTAATTTCTTTCGGCACTTTAATCCACAACATTCCTGGAGTCTTCAAGGATGTGTTTTTATATTCTCGTACAATACAATAATGATAATTACTTTATGTTTCGTGGTATTTATTAGAAATCATGTTCTTTTTATTATAAACTCAGATAAGTTATTTTCTACGTGCTTACGAGTTTTTGTTTACTACAGTTGACATCATAGCATAGACAATCTATAGACTAAAATGGCCGACAGCGTTTTTGTATGTCCATGAAAATTCTATTTTAAAATTAAAGATTTGTAGCTTTCTAGGTCTCAAAAAAATACAATACATTTTTTTTCGGTCTAATAGAACATTTATTAACCATTTAAAACCTTATTCCAAAAAGGGTCAACTAGCCTATTCAATTGTGTGGAAAGTAGAGTAAAACTTCCAGTCTTCAAAAATTTAGTATTACTTTTCACCGGTAAGTTTAAATACATTACAAAAAGACAAAAATACTCTTATATTTAATTGCTGTTAATTGTATTTATTTTTTGGTGAACGCGTTGATGTCTTTGTACATTGTCCCTTTCTCGCATGCGCTACATCATATATGCTATCCCGGTCTCACACCGGCACGTGTATTGCTAGTGACGCAGACGCAGCTCATGTCTCAACCCGTAAGTTTATCGATAAGTTTATCAGCTATGGAAATGGAAAAAATAAATAAAAACTATTTATTTCATCGTATTCAATAACAGATGTCATGAGTATACAACCAACAGTTTTTATTTGATTTCAAACATATCCTACCAAAATTTGAAAACGCGAAAATTTGTATGGATTTGTTAGTCTTTCACGCTAAAACGGCTAAACAGATTTGTATGAAATTAATTGCGCATAGCTTTCGACCTAGATAAAAACATATAATTAATGATATTAAATAGCCTAGATACACCATGAGCGCTCAAAATGTGTCCCAATCAAGAAGTGCTTGAGCTCCTCTCAAGTAGTTCTTGGTTCACAGTCACGCGCGGACCGCTGAAAAGTCAAGATGCCGCAAAGCTAAAATAAATTAGTAACTTAAATATATAAATCGAACTATTTGTGCTATTTGTGAACTTATGTGAACTATTTGTGCACTTTCTAAAATCGTCGAAGGCATTATTTTATCTTTTAAAACAAGTAAAAAATGTCTGCAATATTATTTGACAAATTGCGACTACAGCGAATTGTGTGCATGCAGCTAATTTAAAAGGCTCATTTTTGAGACGCGTATCCGTGTGGTCGGGGTCTTTTTTTGATATCTTCCCATTTTGACTTAATTTAAGATGAATTGTTATAATTTTCTGTACATAAGTACAGAAGTACAGAAAATTATGTTATATTTTTGTATAAACAAAAATATAATTATTTATTTTTGTATAAACAAAAATATAATGTATTTAAATATAAATAGTTCATCTTCGTAAAAATGGGTTTTACTAAATTTCTTTATTGTCATAAATACCAGAAAATAATAATTAAGGGGCCTTTATCTTCGGGTCGGTGGGAGTTTCTTTTGTTTTCGATTCTGTACCGAATCTGAACAGATTCTTTCCGAGTGCATATAATAATTAAGTGAGAGCTTTCCCACTAAGTGGTTCCCGTACAGATCTTTACCGAGCGGATACTTAGCTCGCTGTGCCGAGTGCTTCCGAATGCTACCGATTCATTCGACTCGCCTATGCTGTCACTCCTGCAAACAAAACGAAATGAATCCGTACTGACCCGATGAGTAAGGCGCTTTAAGTTTTAAAAATTATTTTATGATAATATCATCATATTATTGCCTATCTATATATTTGTCACGTGTTTTTTTGTGTTGCTTATATATTATTTAGTTTGTAGTTACTGGTCGCCTCATGTAATTAGAACGCACCAAAGTACTAGGCCTCTATACTAAATTGTTTATCGATAGGAAATATCGACATTTTCTAAAATCTATCTTACCCTCATCACTTCGCTGCACTGAGTATATGATCTGACCTTGACGCGTCCAATCACAACGGGGCTGACCTCCCTGCACGCCGCCGACTTTGGCGATTTTGATTCCAAACAAAATTTCTGTGATGCGGACTCTAGTGGGGGTGCTCCGTGTCTCATATGCATCGATCGTATTGATTTTAGTTTTTTACATTTGGGATTTTGAAAATATAAATGCTGAGTTATAGGGTGAATAAAATTTATTTAATTTACTTAATCCTTTAAAGATTTTGTCAAATAGCGGTCGGTGGATTTTTGAAACGTGATAAGATTTCCGGAACCATAATTATAAACATCTGTAAAACATTAATTCTACGCCCTAAAACTACCGAGTCGATAATTTTTATAACTAACTGCGCGTCACTAATGAAAATTAAGAATAAATTTTCATCAAACGGACGTATAAACATCGGTTGGAAACAGTTTTTCAGTCAAATCATTCGAATTTTCATACGATCTTCTGAGCATACTGGGAATGAAAGGAAATCGGATTATTTTAATCGAATTTTCACATTGCCATGAATCGGTTTTCAAGAAGATTGATTCTGGATTGATTGACCTTCTTATTAAAAGTCATGACGTAGCAAGGCCGAAATGGCGAAAACTACGGCCGTAAAACATGAATTAAAACAAACATACATAGCATCGCCCCAATAGTTTGTGCGTACCTCAGAGTAACAAAGTCTATGGAGAAGCTCTTGTCAACATATAGAAAATTTTACTTATATAAATACGAGGCATTTATGACATAAAGCGTAAAATATATCTTTATCTCTTTCTTTCCACAGTACAATTGTGTTTGACGAAGGAGACAGACATATTCCACTCAATGCTAAAATATCATAGAAATCTGTCAAAAGTTTAGGCACGTGCCAATTCCGCCATTTTATGTTACGAGTTTTGAGGTATTTGTTCTGTCATCAGTTTGTTTACAATTTGGAAATATTGAGTTAAACTGCTTTGTTAAGAGAAAATATGTGCTAAAATACGTGGTAGTGCGGAAAAACTGGTTGTAAATATGCCTAAATGTTGTGTCGTGATGTGTAGTGCAAGAAAAAACAAAAATCAACCTCAATTGACGCTTCATAGGTTAGTAAACAGTTTTGAAGAATATCGTTTGATTATTATAAGTTATGTGTACTGCATTATTATAAGATGCTAGTTTTTCAAAGTTTATTATGATCTTCAACTTCAATTAGATGATTAATGTGGATATTTCTATAATTTATTTTAACATTGTTTGTTTACATACTGCTAGTGATGACAAGCGCTATGTTGAAGTTTAATATCGATTTCGATAAATTTTTACACTTTATCGTTTATCTTCTTGAGTAATGCACGTCTGAACAGAGTTAATATGAGAATTGGTAAGACTAATTACATACATACTATCACGCTCGTTATCCCACAAGGGGTTGAGCAGAGCTTTAGGTAAAACTTAGTTGCACATAAAGCCACATCTGGCGGAGAGGGTCAATCAGCTCCCCAAAATAGTGACAAATTGCCAGCCTGTTGCCTACAAAACAAGGGGTTGACCCGGGTTCGCCATAGCCTCGTCTGTTAGCTAGCAGGTGTACCATGTGCAGGTGAGGTTGGCTTGGATCCCATTGGATGTTGGATGTTATTCGGGACCCCTTACACCCCGGTAAGACTAAACTGTTAACAATATAGTCATGTTAGGTGCAACAGGAGATCGGTAGTTGTTACGTTTTCTTTGTGAATTGATGAATAACTTACTTTAATATTTTTTTAATTCACAATTTGTTTAATTCAACAGATTTCCTACAAATGAAATTCTGAAAAAGAAATGGATTCAAGTTATTAAGATATAAGTTATATATCATAGAAAATATAAACCCACGGCATAAAATGTGGTATGTCTGCTCAATGCACTTTGATGAAACAAGCTTTAATCGGACTCTTGACGTAATAAGATTGCGTGATGGATCAGTGCCCTTGTCTTCGCTTTTGGTAAGTATTTATTTCTAACCATTTTTATATGTACGTCTATACCTAGCAGTTGAACTTTATTAAAACATAATGATATTAAATTCTAATGTAATGTACATAATTACATACTTACAGTACTTCAAACAAAATATCACAACATTTCACACTCAAACTAAAATAATTTACCTATAAAATAACAATTTTATAGGTAGGTAATTGATAAATTTTATTTTATTTTTCAGCTTAGTTCCAAACAAACATCAAACTTACAAGATCCTACAAGTTCGATGGTGAGATTATTTAGAGAGAAGATAGATTTTTAGTAGCCTTACATTAAAATATTATTTTATATTTAAAAGCCTTAGCTTACTAATAGTGGTTTACATAAAGACATTATAAATATGTATTGGCATTATGATGTCAATATTACTTTTACTTGATAACAAGACTGGATTATTATTTTAGATTTCCCCGACAACCAGTACACATGTTTTGCGTGAAACACAAAATATGACAATATTAAACTTTCCTGATGAGAATTTTAACAAAGATGCAACTGTTGTAAAGGTAAACTTTAGTTAATTTTTAACATTATTCAGGTATTATGCTATTATAAATATTTCAAATGATTTCTATCATGTTCTCTGACTATCACCTAATATTATAACATTCGGTAGATGGTCTATGTTTACTCCTAAATTTAATAATAGATTAATAAGAGAGATGAATTAATACTTACCATTAGACTACTGTTGTTTCATTTATTTAGATTAGTTTTTCCATGAAATATTTGTTATCTTAAACATAAAAATAAATGTTTGGTACCCAAAGAAAGTACTACAAATATGCAATTTTTTATATAAAAAGGGGCCTGTAAAAATTATTAATATATTACAATTTCTTTGATGAAGGGCTGGTGGGTTTTTATTAACATTATATTTTATTTTAGATTCAACAAGATGAAAATATTAAAAATCTCGCAGAAAAGTGCGATAAACTTAAGAGGAAAGTAAGACGCCTAAATGAAAAGGTGCGAAGGCGTGATGGAAAAATTGCACTTTTAACTGATATGTAAAAAAAAAGGCTAAGTAAGGCGATGTCACGAAGAAGTTGTAGAGGCTCAAGGGAGTCCGTTCAAAATTAAAATCTAAATCAAAAATGTCTTTATTTAAATGGACTTTGCTAAATACTTTTAAATCATCAATTCCCTACCACCGTTTCGAGACGAAATAGTTATTTCACTTAAATAATTATGCTGCTTATACGGAGAAGAAACGGCGAAAGAAACTCCACAGCTTACAATTTCATAATGATTTCAAAACATCATAGGTCAAAAGATATGTATTATAAAAGAATTACTAGTATTAAAAGATTCTGTCTCTCCCTATCGACACTGTACTGTCGTCTGCATAGCAATATATGCTTCCTAAAGATAGCATGTCATTGATATGCAGAAGAAACAGTGTAGGGGATACAACGGAACCTTGCGGAACTCCAGTTTTAACTGCCACGAACCGCAAAGCGCAGCCGTCGATGACGACACTGATTCTACATACACATCTAGCAATATGGCTCGTGTGGTGCCTCTGAATAGTGACAGGTTGCCAGCCTGTCGCCTAAATTAAAAGGGGCACTAAACCCAATAATAGCAATCCTTCAGTATACAACCAAACGCAAAAGCCAACAATAGGACAGATTTTACAATCGAAACCATGTAAGCAGTCCGGGTAACTAATGAAATAATTGGTATTAACCTAAATATTGTTATTAATACCCATTAATTTTTAGTTGATTTAAGAACAAATTTCGTGTTATGTATGCCGACATGTTTAAGATAACACAAAAAATTTGAAAATCTAAACATAGATAAACGTTATGTAAAAATTATCGATATTAGATCATTCTGCAATGGTACAATACTAGGAAAGGCAGCCATTTTATGCGAATAATTTTGTGTAGGTATGCATGCTAATTTTGTAGGTATGGCTGGTCCATAGGTTTATTTAGTCATTGGTGCGTACTACGAAAATTTGATATTGACAGATTTGACAGCGAAATTGTTTATTTTGTTGTAAGACTTTTGTCATACTTGATTCAACTATGTATTTACGTTAATTGAGATAAATTAATGATATAATATTCTTATACCTACATTAAATAATGTGTCTTTTTATTTATCTGTGAATGTAATGGTCTGTTTCGTCCTACTGTAATTTGTAGGTTATGTTAAAAACACAACTTTGTTCTGTAACTAAACAATAAAATACAGGTTAGTGAATGATACAAAATAAGTAAAATATAACTAGATGTTATATAACAAAGTTTATTTCAGGTGGGTATGATGAACCCCGCTCAGGATGGCCTGGCGCCTCCCGGTGGCGCTCCTTCTTATCAACAACCTTTATACTTGCAAGAACCACACACACCTGTTACTACGCACAGGTATAATTTTCTCTATTTGCAATTTATATAAAGATTTATTACTAACAAAAAATAAGTACCTATGTACTCACAATGTAAATTTAAATAATAAAATGTTCTTCAGTGGTGCTGGCGCCCCAGCGGGCAATTATATGATTCAGCAACAACCCGGAGGCCAACAAAGGTTACTAATGATGCAGCCAACACAAGTTATAAGTGGACCTCCTACACCAAGCACCCCAACTCAACCATCAGGGCCGGTTTATGGCTCCCCTCAGAGAGCTTCTCCTCCAGGGACAACCAGTGATGATTCTGATGACAGTGTACCTTCACATCATTCACAGGTGATCCACTGTCCACTTGAATGTTTAAATAGTTATTAATTTTCCAAACAAAACATATACAAAACAATTTTCCCACTTGACAGAAAAACTTAACTCTTATTGAAACACTAAACTCTAGATTGAAGACATATAATTAGGCTCTTTTAATTATTTATATCTAAAAATATATTTTTTGTGCCATCTTGAAGGAAACAAAATGTTGTTTAAACAAGAAATTTTAGAATATTATTATATTATGTAATACATTATGTACATTGATTGAACTAAAAGTGGAAAAACAGCTTTTATTTTTTTGTATAAAAATTAAGCTATGGGGAATAATTTTATTTATAAACTAATGCTTCAAACATTATATTATTTAAACCTAACCATTTAATTATATGTGTATTTTTATTTATGTATTGAGACTTCTCTAATCTGGCAAGTAGTATACAGAAAGATCACATGCACAGAAGTTTGTTGACTCTTACTGTCTGATATCGGTACATTGATGTTTCACAATTTTTCATAAGTTAATATAATATATAAATAATTTTTACATTTACTACTACTAATCTATATTGTTTGGACAATTATAAGGTTTCGTACAATACAACAGCTATGCCATCACACAAATCACAGGCTATATTTTTCATTTGTAAGAACTTTCCTCTTCTTGTCCTGCTATAAGAAAATTGTGTGAGAATTTGTGAAAATGGATGGAAGTGGGTAACAGGAAGCTGCAAAAGCGCACTCTATTAATTGATTATTAAGTGCTGTACTAGTTTCGAAATTCAATTATATTTTCTTGATATCAGCAGTTGAAAGGCAAAATTGTTTATACTCCACTTTAGTCGAAAATGAGTTATATATTTATATATAATTTGAATCACTTTTTTCTGCTTTGATCTGTTTATGTTCGTGAAGATTTTAATACTTTTTTGGCGCTTAGAAAATTCAATTTTTGAAGAGTTTTTATTTTTCACAACACTGAAGGTACATAAATTTTGGTGTTTTATCAAGCAATGACGCTTACGCCCTACTATTTATTTGCATATGATTTGATGTTAGCTTGACAAAAAATGTATAGCAGGCCGAGTTATTTTCGCTTAATAGACTAATTCACTTTTACTTTAAAATCTAATTTCTAAAGTAAAGGCAATATTATGTAACTTGTCTGCTCACTAATCCGCATGGATATTTTTCTACTAAAATCTCCTTTAGCCAGAAAATATTATTTTTTGAATATGTTTTTATTTTTATGGCACTTTCACAATCAGTTATGATTCTTTTTATGTGAAAAAAAAACTGATCCCCCCCTGTAAAGGTCTTAAATTGGCGTTTAAGCGATTTTGCTTTTGCACTGTTGTTATTATTGATTATGTTACAAATTATTCTATAGCTAAAATTACTTTAACTTGAAGTGTGTATAAATAATGTTTAGCACTTTTTTGTTTGAAGTTTTTACTCTTGTGTAGTGAAAACAATATTTACTAAAAATATCAGCATGATTATTAAAAAAAATCACACTGAAAAATGTATTTCAGTGGATTCTGCTCAGATTATTCTCAAACACTTTATTAGGTTAATAGATATCTATTTAAAAATATAGTTCATTGGCACAAAATGAACATACTATTTCTAATAAGTAGTAACTAGTATAGAAAATCTAATGAATTGGTTGTTTGTTGGTAGTTGCCTGGTGATGCGGAAAGCCTTCTGCCTATCCATTATTGCTCAGCGAGCCGGCAGCAACAAACTACGCTTCATCAGGTATAGGCAAATTTTATCCCTTACATACTCTCACCTAGACATAATTGCCTATTCTTTTATAGATTTCTGTTGCCAATGGACTATATTCTTTGTAGCTATAACTTTATTATTGTTCTTCAATGTCTATTTCATTTTGCTTAATTTTATTAAAACATTTTTTTATTCCTCTAGCAGATGGGAGTCAACAACATGGGTGTAAAACGGTCATCACCTGAACCTATGGATAATGGAATGAACCGAGGGCAAATGCAGAAAAAGCCTAAAGTTCAAAAGAAAAAGAAAAAAAGAGACCCAAATGAACCTCAAAAGTATGTTGACTATGACTTTACCTTGTCAAACATCATAGCTTTTTTGGTACTAAAATCTTAAATAAAATGCCCCATTCCCCTCATTAATCCCCCAAAAATATTTTCTCCCCAATTATCCTCCCATCGCTTTAAAAACCCCCCAATCTGGCATCAGAGTTCAGCAATCCCTTTTAAAGCTTAAACAAATATCAATGTGACATAAGGTCCGTCCCCCTTTATGTAATGAAAGGGATTGCAGAATGAATGAGATTAATTGACATGATTTATCAAACAAACTTCCATTCCATTTCTTTTTCTTGGCATGAGTTGCACCAATTTACTTTAACAGTTCAGGTAAAAAATGGATTGCACTTGCATCATTTGACAATAGTCAAAATGAGGTCATAGTTTGACAGTGACAATAACTGTCTAAACAAGGCCAGATAAAGTTACTGAAATTTTACAATAACTGGCTATGTGGTGAGACTCAAGCTTGTGATAAAAATGTCTGTTAGCTCTAAAATTTTAGAGTTTAAAATTTTGTCATTTATTGAACAAAATTATTATGTGCTTTCAATAAAGTATGGAGGTCTTTAAATTTACAAAATGTATGTAAATTGCTAATGATTTATATCTCAAAGTGATAATTACCAGTGTCAACCTTCAAAAATTTTTGATTTTAAAACAATTCCATGTACTAAAATCAAAATTCTTTGAAGGTGAAACTGGTGATTATTAATTGGTTTAACACTTGTTTTAGCTATACTCTCACTATACAGTAGTAAATAATAATAATATAATCTTTTCAGACCTGTATCAGCATATGCCTTATTTTTCCGTGATACTCAAGCTGCAATAAAAGGACAAAATCCCAATGCTAGTTTTGGTGAAGTTTCTAAAATTGTTGCATCTATGTGGGATGGGCTTGATTCAGAACATAAAAGTGTGAGTTTAAATAAATTAGTATTTTTTTAATTTAATTTACTTTAAATAATTATTCCTTTTACTTCACAGGTATATAAGCAAAAAACTGAAGTTGCGAAGAAAGAATACCTCAAAGCACTAGCTGCCTACAGAGCTAGCCTTGTCTCAAAGGTAATAAATATTTTTATGGATTCACAATAAGTCTTTTGAAATTACAATTGAAAAATAGCTCATCTGAAATATTAATTCTGTTTATTCTTAACTTTAGTAATTATCAAATTAGCTTCCTTAAGGGGTCATCCATAAAGTACGCCTCGTGTTAAGGGAGTGGGAGGGGTCGAAGAAGACGACGACCCCTACCTAAGTATAGTGTTAGCACAATAGAAAATAATCTCTCATTGATTCATGGATAATGTTCTAAGGGTCGTATGACAATGTAATGACAACTAAGTGTTGATCTTTACTTAGTACAGTTAGAAAGGGATGTCGCTTTCTATAGCACATAACGACATCTCTTTCTAATTGAATTTAAGTAAAGATCAACACTTATTTGTCATTCTGTAATACGAGCCTTAATGAGTAGTTTTAGTTTTGAATTACAAGATTAGTGGAATCTATAAAACACATTTGTTATTAAGGTCAAGTACTACCTAGTACTACTTTCGAAAACTTATCGAGAGATAACACAATATTTTTCATACCAATCACTCGCAAGGAATGTAATTTTGGTGTAGGGTAGGTGGCATTGTAATAGAAACAAAAAAATATTAAAGAGTAAACTGCATGGACTCAAATTTCCTTTAAATTATGAATTGATCAATAATATGTAAAAAAAACTGATTGATTCATGGTGGATATTGTGTTAAAAATGTGGTCCATATGTGTGTTACATAATTACATTCGTCTGCGAAAGTGAGTAAGTGGTGGAATCTGAAAAATAAATATTTCGGTCAAGAGGAAGTAAGAACAGTTTTTATTGTGCTAACTATACTTCGCAGAAGCTTATGGAAAAGTTAAATCGAAACACTTTAGGCCAAATAGTCCAATAATGAAATGCTTCATGTACAACCGTTATTCTAAAAAAAACTGGATCGAAGAAGAATGTTCTAAATATAAGGCTGTATGTATGTAATATCCTGTCCCTTCTTTATGGTGAAGAAAAAAAAGTTATGCCGAACTGTCAATGTCATATCGATGGCTTGTGCGTTAGTCGGAAGTCTAGCGTTATTTTACTCGTTTTGCTTAATTGTTGAAAAAAACAGTGCTTTTGGATTTAAAATTACAAGTAAAAAACGGATTATAACTTAAAGTTTGTACTTCATAGATTAATTAATCAAAAAAGTATTAATTTCATTCATCATTATTTGCTGTCTCCAGAAGTACAATAGACTTTAAAAATGCATAAAGCTTATCTCACTAGAATTAGTCTTATTTATGTATAAACGGATCTTAAAATAATATTGCAATTGGGTCAAAGTTAGAGTGAAGTTTTGTTATAATTAATGTACCTATATATTATTATATATGTTATATATGTTTTGTTTGATCATTCTAACCTATAAACGCAACTGTCAGAACCAAAAGCTTACAAAAGTTCTTTAATAATATCATTTATTGTTTTAGGGAAGTGACCAAGAAAACCAAGCAATGTACAATCACCCAAATAATACTAATACAACCTATGGTAACTATTACCAAGGACAATCATATGGCAATGGTCATTCTCCCCAGGGTTTTGTAGCTAACTCAGTACCACAAGGATATTCCCCGCAGACCTACCCTGGTAATCAAGCACAAGCTTCTTATCCTGGACAAGCACCACAAGGCTACCCACCTAATCCTCAGCAGTCGCCTCAAAGTTATCAAGGAAATATGGCACATGCACCACAAACATACCAGGTACTAAGCATTTATTGTTTTTAATTGCATTGTTTAAGCTTTTTTTCTTTCAATATAGAGATTTATAGAATACATAATCAGTAAAATAATAATGAAAACTTAACATTTCAATAATATAAATGTTTACATTTAGTAATACTTCGGTTATAATCTATTATTATATTATAGGGAGTTCCTGGTCAATCCCCGCAAGGATACCCAGTTAACCCTGCATCTTCACCTCAAGGTTGCCAGCCAAATCTGGCTCAATCCCCCCGAAGTTATCAACCTGCACAATCTCCATCAAGCTATGCTGGGAACTCTGGGCTTTCACCCCCTGGCTACAGACAAGTTCAATCACAATCCCCTCCAATGGGCTCTGTTCATCCAGCAATGCAATATCATCATTCCCAGCAGGTACATGATACTTCAGTTTTGTAACTTGCATTTATAATAATGTTGACATGATAGTAGGTACTTGCAACATTCTCTGCTTAGTATAATTGATGTTCCACACTAAGGGTAGACAAAGCAATCTGTTTTATTTATTAAATTATAGGGGAGCAACATTTCGCTGTTATGCCTTTATTGAAATATTTCATTGTTTAATTTTGTCTTTTAACATTATCTTCTCTTGCTTTATCCATCCAGACTGTTTTTAAATTCATTTATTGACTTTGAAGTGACCACTTTCTCAGGTAATTTGTGCCAATGTGGTGTGCAGTCTTTGTTTGTGCTGACATATTCTGTAGTTGAATATTATGGTATCTACTATCTCTTATATAGTCCTTCAATGAATATATGCTTTTTATATCAGGCAGGTTGTAAAATCCCTCTATGATTTTATATGTTTCAATAAGATCACCCCACAAGCATCACTCTTCCAAGGTAGAAAGGTGGAGGACTTTTAGGTCTCTTTTAGGTTTTAATCTAAAATTGTAAAAATCAAATTTATGAAGTTTCATTTTATGCGACGATATATGGACACGCCCTTTTAATTTTTTTTTAATGGGAAAATGCGCGACTCATACCCCGCACCTAGGTGAGAGACGGGGTTATGTGGGATTCCTCCTCCACACAAATCCCGTCCGCTCGCTCAGCCAGCCCAAGAGACTGCCTCAGCGACTGCTCGGGATGAAGGGAGCCCCTACCCACTAAAAACAGTGCTTCCCGGAACGGGTGTCGTGGGATACTGGTGACTCTCCACGTTAAACCCGTCAGGGGTTCCTCCTCCTCCTGGCGGTGAGAGAGATGCCCGGAAGCACCCATGGCATCCCCCTTCGACGGGTGAGACTGTGCAGTGCGGACGGCAGACCACCCTATACCCCTAGCACAAACCATTATCGAATTCGAATATTTTGAGGAATTTTGTATAGAAACTTGAACAGCAGCGCCACAAAGTACATAAAAAAACAGTACACATTTGATAATGACATTTCGGACTCGCAAACTATTCGAATTCGATAATGGTTCGTGCTATGGGGACTGATCACCACCCGCTAGCCTCACTAGGGTTGAAAGCGACGCGCATAGCGCCTCCTTCCACCCTGCCGGCGGGCATCCCCCTTGCGGGCCCTCTCAGCTGTCTCCTTCTGGTGGATGACTTCCTCGTAAAAGGAGACGCAGTCCAGGATCTGTCGCTGTCCAGCATCGCTTTTACGACGCTGGGCAGAGAGAGATCCCGTCCTATCGCCATGACCATATGGCGCTGCCGGGACCACGACGGGCACTCCTCTAGGGTGTGCTGCGCCGTGTCCCCGACAGCGCCACAATGATGGCACGAAGGGGTCGCTTCCCGTCGTATGCGATGCAGGTAACATCCATGCCCCGACAGCACCTGCACCAGATGGAAAGTCAACGACCCATGCTTCCTCTCCCTCCATTGGCGGAGTATCGGTCGCCGGTCAAGTGCCTCCAAGGTCCTGGTGCCATACTGTTGCGTCCCGAACTCTCCATTCCGCTCCTCGATGACCAGCTCCTCTAGCCGTCGCATGTGGGCGAGTGTTTCCTCAGGGACTAGTCGCTCCCCCCTCTATCGGGGCTCTGCTCTTTTCCAATACAGACGGGACAGGGCCTTTGCCTCCATGTGGACGCGCCTTAACAATAAAGTACTATTTTCACAAGCAAAGACTTCTTCACCAAAGTGGCTCTTATCTCCATACCTAAATTTAACAAAATAATTCAGTAATAACACTTGCATTTTTTAATAATTTTATTATCAATGGATCTAATCAAAGCACATACATAGTTTCTGTAATTCAATATAGCTGACACTCATTGTGTCTCCAACTATTATAATAATTTTAGGTAAAAAATGTTTAAGAAAATTTAATACTTACAAATTAAAGTTGTTGAAAATACCGGGCACAACAAATTATGTGTTGTTTGTTTACGACCTTGTTTTTTTTACAGCAAATGCAACAAGCTCACCAACAAATGCAACAAGCACATCAAGTACAGCAATATCAACAACAGCAACAGCAGCAACAACAACTGCAACAACAACAGCAGCAGCAGCAACAGCAGCAGCAACAACAGCAGCAGCAACAACAACAGCAGCAGCAGCAACAACAACAACAACAAACTTCTCAACAATCAACACAAAATCAAGTTCCCAAGCCTGAATCCCACTCGCCAAACAGTAATGGCAGTTCTGGCATACCACAGCAATCACCAGATGTAAGCAACAAACCGATTTTTCCAAAAGTTTTACTCCCACAAAATGCTTGGTGTCATAGTTCAGGTAATTTATGATTGAATAAACTGCAGCAATGTGTATGATTTCAGCAAAATGAAAATAGAAGCACTACATCATGTATTCGCCAAGGCTGCACAAATCCAGCCATAGCTAACAGTGAATGGGAGGATGAATATTGTTCCAATGAATGTGTTGTCAGTCACTGCAGGTAGGAATTTATTATCAAAGTTTAATAAATTTTTAACCCATATTTGTTTCTCTGTACATTTATTTACTCAACAATAATCTGGTATCTTTTCCAGAGACGTGTTCAGTTCATGGGTGGCTTCTAACAGCAGCAATCAGATGCAAAACTTTTCTGCAGTAAAATGAAACTAATGTACATATCAATATTAAATGTAAATTGATCAAATTACTCATATTTCTATAGATATACATGAAGAAAATGAAGCAAGTTAATTTTCACTTGTTACAATAATTTAAGATAAACATTCACTAACTAGTTTAGTGCGTGTGATTTAAAAAAAACATAAAAATAAGCATATTAGATTCATGTAATGTTTTATGCATTTCAATGCATTTAGTCACTCATAAATTGGATTTAACATAATTATTTATATGATGAAAGGAGACAAAACTTTGGTTTAGCAGTAAACTGACAATGTTATTTTAATGGTTAAATATTTTATTCTTCCAATGACACAATTTGTTAATAAATTATGTTATTTATAATGGGCAATACTCTCTGATTTCCACCAGCTCAGAGATAAGCTATTATGGTGTGGAAGTCAATACTTAGCCAAACAAAAACTAAGAAATTATTTATATTGTTTGCTATTAATAGAATTATTAAATATATAAAATTCAATGGAAATTAATAAGATATGATAGCATATGAAATACAAAGTGCGCATTTATTAGTTTATGTAATATATACATTTGCACTTTAATTTAGCAAATAACATGATATATGCCTAAAGTTTACCAATATTAATAAATAAAGCAATCCTTGCCTTATATATTATAATATGTAACAATTTACTCATAGTTAGCTTTAAGCTCGATATAACGCATGTCATTACAGTCATGTTTGGAGATAATAACATTGTTATTTGTACCATTCAGTATTTTTGATTAAAGCTAGAGTAGTAATACTTAAATACCAACAGATAAGACGTTAAATTGATGTCCACAGCCTTAAGATAATATATTATTTACCAAAAGTATGGCATTTAAATTTACTTTATTTTTCATTAAAAAATGTAGGTTTTGGTCATTTTCTCAAAAAATATTTCTTCCTATTAGTGTTGCATTAAAAATATTAAAACTAGTGTACATTTCTAAGATACCTACTTATCTACATGGCAACCTTTTATTTTCTACTTGCGTTTAGACTTTTAGGAATTAGCTGGACCAAAATTTTCTTTATAGAAAAAAAAGGTATCATAACCATAAGTTATGTATATTCAATGTAATTTGTAAATAAACATGCAATAATAGTAGTAGGTACTTTAAAGTAGAAACTACGTAAAAATATTCCAGTTTATGTTATTTATTTCGTAAACTTGTTAGAACTTTGAATGAATATCTTTGTATCGAAATAATCTTTTTAAAATGTAATATATTATTGTATAAAATGTAATTAGAAAACAGTTTCATTAAATTTCCTAAGCATTAAAAATTGTAGTGGTTTTTCCTCAGTTAAAATCATGCTTCCTCATCCTTACTTAATCCTACTTATATCGTATACCCATGGACGTATTTATACGTCCTTGCGTATACCTATGTGGGTTGTTACGGAATCGCCACAATCACGTCTGAATGGATTTAAATGAAATTTGGCAGACGTAAGTATTGCTTATTACCTGGATTGAGACAGGACTTTTTATCCCCGACTATAGTTAACGCCTGCAGGTTCTTCATAATGTCGTCGGTAATCATGCACAACACCAAAACCCCGAGAGCTTTCTAATCGAAACTTGAAAACATGTGGACGATATGATCGACATGGAGGATAATGTACGGTAGAGCCTATTAGTAGTACATAATAGTATTTTAAAGCCCAGCGTACCGTAAAAAGAACCGGCCAAGTGCGAGTCGGACTCGCGCACCTAGGATTCCGTACAAACCTGTAGGTATATTTTAATAATAATTAAAAAATATTTTTAATTAAATGATATAACTAAAAATTTACGGTTTTCGCAATTTTTCCTTTATCTGTACTATAAGACGTTATTTCGTACCAAATTTCAAGATTCTAAGTTCACGGGAAGTGGGTTGTACCCTGTAGGTTTTGATACCCGTGCGAGTTTCGAAAATTTGCGGCATAAACAGCTGTGTCTTTTGATTGCTTTGGCTTAGAAGTTTCATTTTATCACACTCAACTCAATTCATAATTAATACTCAGTAGACCTGACTATTACATATGAATTTCAGTTTGATACCTCCGCGCGTTCCTGAAAAAAACGGTTTGATAGACGGACGGACAACAACGTGATTCTATAAGGGTTCCGTTTTTTCCTTTTGAGGTACGGAACCCTCAAAATTAGTTTGTAACATCGTGGAGATAGAGGTCAATTTAGCACCTTCGAACACATGAGCAAAACACGAAAAAAATAACGAAATGCTATATTGCGTCCACGGGGACGTGGTCTTAGAGACACGTTAATATGTTTCTGGCTTTATACTCTTAACTTCCCCAAAATCGTATCGGCGTCTGATACCGATATCGGAACGGATAATGTGCAATAAAGTTCTTACGTCCACTTGACAGGAATAACGTATATTTTACAAATCTTTCTACTACTTTTTTTTTGACAGCTGGTTATCGGCAAGCTCAGTCGTAATAAAATAACATCCTACAATTAAAAATCATAAAGTTGCTTATTTTAATTGATTATAGTTCCCAAAGTTCAGCCAATAGCAAAGTAAAGCTATTAGGTGTTAATTGATTGATGATGATGATGATGTTTAAATTCTTACGCGCTGGTGCTATTCCATTGCTATTCAGCTGTTATCACTTGCACGGACAGACCCTATTCAAAGTGAGTGTTTTTTTTTTTTTTGTTTCCTCCCAGGCGGGGGAGAGGGTGAGAAATCCTCATGGATACCCTACAGCCGGCTGTAAGGTTATGTCAGACTCTTACTGACTAAAAAACACCTTTATTCATGCTTATGGCCAGAAGGGCCTTACAAGCTTCATCTGAAGCGATCAACCCCCGAGAGGGGGAAGATGCGGCGCTGCGTTAGTTTAAACTAGTGCATAGTTTAAAATAACGCAAAATGCGCTTAGAGGACAAGTGCACTCAGATGTGCACTTGAAACGGGAGGGGACTGAGAGGAGTCGAACCTCTGTGTCGGGGGGGCGGGGGGAGTGCACTGTGTTGGTTTTATAGACGGAAGAGCACGAAAAATAATAAAGGGACTTGTTGGTGGCGCCATCTGTCTGCATCTTCTTCTTTTAGGGGTGCTTTCCGTTGTGCAGCCTCCACAACCAATAATTAACTCCACAATAATTAATTATTTGCATGCTATTAAAAACTAATTTTAAACGATGCCAAAGAAGGATAACTTCTCACGCACCTACATAAGTACACGCACCCATTTTTTTGTTCCTAGTGCGTGTCTGTCAATATAAAATGTATATACACGTATCTAATTTATGTATAATAATATTGAAAGTGATATAAATGATAAATTGTATTTATTATTTATGTTTCTAAATAATTTCACGAGTATATATTTCTGTTTTTTTTTATTCTTATATTTCTTTTTTTCCGATAGTCAGTTGTCAAATGAACCATATGTGTCAATAAAAATCAGCGTCAGGTCCCACAAACCTGACACCATGCTGAATTGACAACCTGTTTTGAATTTCACTCGTCGTCTTCACGATATCGTATGCTCGATGACTCGATTAAACGAACTTCACACTGTTTAGTTTTGTCTCTTTCGTTCTTTATTGCTAAAAAAGAGATAGCTGAGCCATTCATTCAATTCAACCTTAAACAAAGCTAATTTAAAACTCTAGATTTACACCCATATTCTTAGTCGTTTCCTCGAGATTTTTTCCACTCGACTCAACCTCATTGGAGGAAATTCGTATGCTTAGACAACAAAAATATCCTTCACTTGAGATATTCCTCACTCGAGTGGAGGTCGAGTCGAGGAATAAACTGTCAAACTCAAGGTAGCTCTCGACGTACCTTAAGGCTTCCTCGAGTGGTGTTTTCAAGTTGCTTTTATCGAGAATTATGTCTGATTTTGAGATTATTGACGAATTTGTGGATTTTATGGATTAAGTATACGATTTATTTATTTATTTATTCAGTAACACATACACGATGATTAACCATATAATTATCCGGCGCGACGGTATTTACGTGATGCCGCAAATCCTTTTAAGGTCTACGACAGTGATTCGTTTCAAAGAAGATTTCGGTTTAGAAAAGATACAGTCATACAAGTAATATTTCCTCTGTTAACCATTATAGAAATAAAATCCTCCAAATGATGACGTCACAATGTTGAGGAATTCTCAGTGGAGGAATTCTCAAGTTTGTTCAAGATACCAACTAGAATACCATTTTCGAGGTTATTTGGAGGAATTCCTTAAGGAGCCCTCGAATGAGTTTGAGTCGAGGAACGTTTGAGGACGCGATTAAGAATATGGGTGTTAATCTAATTGATCGAATTGATCTGTGTCCAAAGAGTATAGAACCTACGTTTATCTGTGTGTGAAACTTGGCTGTATGTGGTATGGTTTGGGTATGGTTGACATCAAGGCCGTAAAGAAATAAAATTTAAAAATATATATACATTGGGCCCAATTCTGGCGTGATTCTCTAAACTTAAAACTAAATTTAACATCAGTCTCTCCTTTTTATTCTGTATAGAGAATGATAAGGATATACTGCTGTCAAATTTAAGTTTAGGTTTAGAGATTCATGCTAGAATCGACACCATTGTACAAAATGCCTGTCGGTGATAAAAGAAGTTAATCGCCTGTGTTGTAATAATTCCCGTCGTTCCTGTGCACGCTGGTCTTCTTCAATCTCTTCAGTGAGCATGAGAGCTAAATATAGTACCGAAAACATTATTAGATTGCATAAAAACTTTGCCCTAAACACTTAGTATTCGTTTTCCCGGTAAAAATATGGTAGCATAACAGTACAATATGGCGTCGGATTCGCGACGTCATTACCACTGACCATTTAAGAGTATACTAATGTATATTTCGGAATACACCCATCCTTACAATACTTACTGGGAACCCAACCCGTGAAATGTGGGTGAAAATTGAAAACAAGGACAAATATTATTTAAATAAACACGACAGCGAAATAATTGGGTCTATTAGAAATCTGTATGGCGGTGATATTAATGATTATGTTAATTTTTATTTATTTCATTTATAATATAATTATTATTAATTAGTTACTGGTGTCGATTCTAGCATGATTCTCTAAACCTAAACTCAAATTTGACAGTGGTGTCGATTCTAGCGTGAGTCTCTAAACTTAAAACCAAATTTAACATCAGTCTTTCCTTTTCATTCTGTATAGAGAATGACAGGGACGCACTGGTGTCAATTCTGGCGTGATTCTCTATACTTAAAACTAAATTTAACATCAGTCTCTCGTTTTCATTCTCTATAGAGAATGACAGGGATGCACTGTTGTCAAATTTAAGTTTAGCTTTAGAGAATTATGCCAGAATCGACATCAATGTTGTCAAATTTAAGTCTAGCTTTAGATAATCATGCCAGAATCGACACCAATATCATGATTTTTATTTAAAAATACGGCAATCTGATGTATCGCATACGGCAACACTATCAAACTTGATGGCAACACTGGAGTTTTTGGCGAGATTTCATCGAGTATTATTTTAATTATTTTTAAAATTCGTTCATAGTGGATATTGTGGAGTAAAATTGGTGTGATTTTGTGTTACAACAATCTGCGCAACTGAAGAATTAGTGGAATCTTTAAAATATACGCTATTCCGGTCAAGTGCACGTGAGAACTTTATTGCAGTGTTGGCTACCTCACAGAAGCTTATCGAAAAACCAACTCGATACATTTCGTGCCAAACACTCCAAGAAACATTAGAATGCGTTACACCAATATTCTAATGTAAATAAAAAAAGAGATTAGATTTGTATTTATGTATGCGATTAAAGAACATGTATCCACGGTCATAAATGAAAATGAAAAATAAAATGATGGCATGGCAACACTGCTGTCATGTCAATGCAATGTGTCAATTATATTTGTAGGTAAAGTGTTGGCTAATCCGCTTTACATTAATTAACTTTTACATTTCTTAGATCTTCATTACAGAACTTTCTTTTTAAAAATTAATTATTTTTCTGATACTCTATAATTGATTTCTAGAGTACATGTGTACATACGGTAGAGGAATGTACAGTAAGGTACAGTGATTAGAAATACAATATATTAACAGGAAGCTTATCATAATGATGGACGGAAATGATTTAACATCTGAAGTATCAAGAAAAAGTATTGTTTCACAAGCCTGGACTCGGATTTCACAGGTATGGTACCTAACCTCAGCTTTACATACGTATCCAATAAATGTCACTGTAAGTTTACGAAATTCTGTCATCGGCTCTATAATAGAATACTACTACTATACTAGAATACCAATGATCTTAACCCTTAATTAATATAATGTTAAGAATAGACCTGTACTGATTAGTGGTACATCTGGTACCCAATAGAAGTAATTTTAATAAAATCGAACTATAATGATACCCTTAATTAATAAAATCGAACTTTAATGATACCCTTAACATATTAATAGCCTTGCCATACTTATAATTTTTTGTAATAATAATAACCATAAAATTAAAAAATGTTACTATTATAATGTTTTATATATTAATAAATTGCAGGGTTTCATGATCTATATCATTGATAAATGGGTGTCTCTCTACTAATTAGGAACTGGCTCATACAACACTGCCCCAAACATAATTTTGTTAGGTCTAAATATGTACTGAGTGTGTTAGATTTTGAGTACTCACTAGAACAAATAAGTGGTGGAAAGGAAAAGCACTGGTCCCGGTGGTCACATATTTCAATTTTATTGTTCTTACAGCTTAATATGACATACTTAGATATTTTTTAAACACTACAATATGGATCCCTTACGGGTTTAGTTAAGAATGCAGATTTATAGAGCTAAGGATTCCATAAAATACAGTAGCAAAATTTTAGGTCTTCGATTTTTTTTGTTTTATTATTATTTAAAAAAATCTGCAGTGTTGGTTATTACAGGGTATTATTAAAGGGTGTCATATAAAAAAAATATGTTTAAGACAAAAATTGTTTTAAATCAATATGGACAGGATGAAATAAAATTAAAAAAGTTTTCGGGTGCACAACCTACCTCAATAGACTTGCCAGAAGGGCATTGAACTATTAGCAAAGGGGGTGAACCAAATCCAAACTCACTTTGGGTTGGATATATATTGAATTTTCAAATAAAGCAAATAGCTAATTATTTTTTTGAATTTAGAAGCTAGGTCCAATTATCCTCTTATATTTATAATCTTTATCTGAATTTTACATAATGGAAGAATTTTCTCTTACCAGAATTAGTATGTATGTCCTTATTAGTACATATTTACATGCGCTTATGGTCTCCGCTGCATCTTTGTTATGTGTTGAGTTGAATGTATGAATATAAGCCTTGCTCCCATGTAATGAAAAAGGGTTATTTCATGGTTCAATATAAAATTTTCTAGAGTATAAAAGAAAGACACCTGCAGCTGTAACTAGAGAGTCCGCAGATAGCACATGGCACAAAACAAAACAAAATATTTAAGGGTGGACCACCCTTAACATTTAGGCGGATGAAAAATAGATGTGGTCTGATTGTCAGACCTACTGAATATGCATATAAATTTCATGAAAATCGATCGAGCCGTTTCAGAGTAGTTCAATTACGCACACCGTGACATGAGAATTATATATATTAGATTAAACAAACAGGCCATTCATTGATTACATAACAATCAATGGTACTTGAAGAAGTGATGGACGCACCTTGTAAAAGGGTAATTACTGATATGAGTCAGTCAGACACGACGCCACCCTCCCCCGGATTATACACCCATCCCATCAAAGAAATAAGCTGTAACTAGATAGTGATAAAGGACCTTTCTGGTGTATGTTTCGAAAGTTTAGACTGTTTATACATTTGGCATATCAATTGATCCTCATAATTTGGCCAATTTCTAGTAAGAATCACAACAGATGGACCGATTTTGATGATTTAAAAAATATATATTGATGAGATTCGAATACAATTGTCAAAATGAGTTGATTTTTTTACTTCGAAATTATTCTTATTGTCGTCTGATATTGTTTAGGACTTATTCATTTCTATTAGGACACTAATAAATAAATAATTTTTATACCATCATTTTAGGATTACTGCCTGAACTAAGAAGAGTTAGTCAGATTGGGTGATATACATGCAGAATTGATATATATTGTTGTTTATTATAAATTTTGGATATTTCCATTTCATTCTTACTGTTTAGACTACTATTATCTAATACATGCTGCTCAACAAATTTCGTAGCTGCATTCAAACACAATTCCTGCTGTTATGATCAATGGTGTAGTGATCCCGTATTCTACAAAAGTAAAAAACCTTGGGCTTGTTCTTGACCACACTCTTAGTTGGGATGGTCAAATGGAAAATATGTACCGCAAGATAAACGGAACACTTGGTTTGCTTTACCACTTGAAGAATTTTCTCCCTCCGTTTACCAAAATCTCCCTTGTATAATCCCTTGTTCATCCCCTCTTTGATTATGCTGATGTTTGTTTTACTGATATAAATCAATTATTTCTTACTAAATTGGATCGTCTTCTCAACAATACCATTCGCTTCATTTTTGGGTTACGTAAATACGACCACATCGCTGAATACCGTTATAAACTTAAATGGCTGCCTGTGCGAGAGCGTAGGTACTTAAGGACAGTTTGCACCCTTTTCAACATATTATACGATCCATGTACCCCTGGATATTTGAAATCTAGGTTTCAGTTCCTGGGGTCTTGTCATATATTAAATCTTCGGTCCATTAATAATCTGATACTCAATGTACCGATTCACCACACTAGGTTTGTCTCAAACTCTTTTACCGTTACTGCCATTCGGCTCTGGAATGCACTTCCTTTGAACTTGCATAACACTCCAAGCAGGATTGTTTTTAAGACTTTGGCACGGGAACACTACCTTCATCAATTGCATAATTCTTAACCACAATCAGAATACTGTAATCTGACAAAGTATATGTGTTATATGTATGTGCGTGTATGTGTATGTATATATATATATTTATAGTGTTTGTGTGTATATTTATATAAGTATGGTTGTATGTATAGTTAAGTGTTAGTATATTTGCTCATTGTTTGATTTTAATCTCTCTTCTTTGATTCTGCCGCTTTTTTTAGCTCTGTATGTTCTTTCCGGTTGACTGGTAAAGAATGCCTAATTTGCATTAAGTCCGCCATTTGCAGTGTAAAGGCAATAAAGATTAAATAAATAAAATACATTATTTCTTTATATTATTTAAGGGCAAATTAATGAAATTTCACAATAAATGGTAAAATTGATTAATAAATGCCTGATATTTAAAAAAAATGTGATATATATCCAATATATTTCATAAATATTGAATATTTTCAAACCTTGATAAATTTCAACATTGATGTATGAAGATAATAATCTAAATTCAATAAGTTAATGTTACAATATCACTGAAGAAAACATATTTTGTTGCAGCAGCAATATTTTTTGTCAATTTTAAGTAAATTTCTACAAAAATAATGTACTTAGCTCTACAGATATCCATTTGAGTTTTGTATGATAAAATTGTTGCTATATTTTCTTGGCCCTGTAGGCCTATTCGCTAACTTTTTTGACATTTACACTGTGTAACTGAAGTGAAAATTCCCTATCCATCAATACTATTCAGGAAAAGTATCTTAGTGGTGTTTTAATAAAGCAGTAGTGGTTCAGTAAATAATACCTCAGTGATCATCTGTCAAAACACTGAATACGCCTACTAGTCGTAGTTGGCGATTCCTGCAAATTATTAATTTGTCAAATAGTATGTGATGAAATTTTAGGTAACCTACATATTAAAGATTTTTGTGTTATAGATTTATCAAGGAACATTAGACAAATGGACCCCATACACAAAAGGAAGATGGATTGGCAGTGTATTGCTCTTATTAATATTTTTGCTTAGAATATTTACAAAACAAGTAAGTATTATGTATGATTTTTATATACTTTTTTAAATGGTCAGAAAAAGTTAGAAGATTGTTTTACTTTATTTATCATTAAATTTAATTATAACAATAGTGTGGGCAAAAGCTTCTTAAATAATGATTGTTTAAAAAAAAAATCACTTCCTTCTTCTCCTGGTTGATACAGGAATTTTCCTAGTTCAGGTATCAGCCCACGAGAGTTTGGTAAATTGTACCATTATGGTTAATTTCTACATATTGTTGTTCTTGATTGCTTTGTTGTGTTCCCTCATTCTGCACGCTTTTGAAATATCAGGGACTCGTAAAACACAAGGCACATGGTATCAAACCAGCTAATAACATATCTCCCTATTCCATCCATAGGGAAGGCCTGTGTCCCAGCAGTGGGGACATTAATAGGCTGATGATGATGATATAGTAAAGTCTGTTTTTTAATCTCAGGGACAAAAATAACAGTAACTGTGTTCTCTGTTTATTGCAATTCTTAAAAAGTGGAATAGCTACTACTATAAAAAAACGCTTATAATTTATTTAGTATTGTTTTATATTTAAATGAGTTTTATTAAACATTATCGGAACCGGATTCCCAGTTATTAATAAGTAAGTCCATTACCCACAGTGACCGCTCGCCACCATGCAGCATGACCAGCATGACTGCCTGTTTGCCATCTCTGATATATATTTTTTTTTAATAGCTAAAATAGCTTTTGTACGGTACGGAATGCTAAATGAAGCGAGCAATGAGATGCCTACAGCTACAGATACAAAATGAAACCTATTACATAATAGGTTGTTGAAAATATGTAGAAAAAAACAAAGATTTGAATCGTTAGATATGACACCGAAAAAATGTGGCTATATTTTTCAACGATGTTATGATGATGACCGTTTTAACACATTACAATAGTGAAGTGAAAAGTCAATTTGTTATAGAAAAAATAAACTAGTGAAAAGTCAATTTGTGATAGAAAAAATAAACTAATATAATTAAATGCAAGTCTCATCTACATATAATACTGATTTATATATTTGGGTATTTTAAACAATATTGTAAGAAGTAGTTCATGAAAAGATTGAATAAAATGATAATATAAAATATAAAGTCTACATGAGGTATAGGCTGGGATCGTATCTTAGATTAAAACAAAAAGGGAAGATACGGTACGCTAATACTAGCATCAAATAAAATATGCCTCGACTCAACTACATAAGCAACTCTCACACACGCACACGTCTGTAAATAAACATTCAATCGAGCGAGCGAGACAGAACTGTACGCTTCAACGCAGAGCAAGCGAAACGGCGAGTCCGCGTCCGAGTCTGAACGACTGAGCTGTATTGTTGTCCTTTTCTTCTTAACAAAATGGCGATTACGTAAATAACATTCACGACAAAACGTGTTTTTTAAGAAAAAACTGTTTTTACAGTTTTACGAATGAAAAGTGTTGCCGAGGCATTTGTTATTTGATTTTAAACTATTGGTGTTCTTTTAAAAAACATCGAAGGCATTGTTTTATTTTTATAACACTGAATATACGCGATATTGTTATACTGAGTGCACATGTAGCGTGTTTGAATGTCCAATTGCGACTAAAGTGAATTGTGTCATGCACCACAATTTAAGCCGATCACTTGAGCCGCGAGAGCCTTGTTCAGTGCAATAGCCCAGCCTTCATAAATCAATAACCTGTCATTTAATTTTGTTTTCAGGGTTGGTATATAGTAACTTATGCGCTTGGGATCTATCACTTGAATTTATTTATTGCATTCCTCACGCCAAAAATTGATCCAGCCATGGATTTTGATGGTAAGTCTCTCTCTGATATGAAATTTCTGTATGAGCACTTGAAACCACTAAATTATGCTATAAGTTGATAAGAGTTTCCGTAACTTGTCAGTTTCCGTTTTATATAATGGGGGTCATTTTTATATATAACGGACACTATTACCTATTTCCCTTGGTCACGCCATAACTTTCCAATTCTTTGTAGAAAGTTCTGACGGAAAAAAATGCGCAGAAAATTAGAAAAATTAAGAACTTTTTACTATATTCTTTAGGTGGTACAGTTGGGTTTTAGGTTTTTTTTTTAATCCTGGATAACAATCAGTCTTGAATTATCACTATGTGTCTTTTCAAATGTGTCCGTTACATCGACATTGTTTTGTATCGCCTTTACTTATTAGGAACAGCTTCTCACATTGTACATTATCAATCAGTCGCCATCTTATTCTAAAAGTATCCATAGACTAACCAATCATACGTAGATAACACACAAGCCATAGAGTATACAAAAATTACAAACTATTATTACTACATCTACCCCTTTTAAATCAATATAACAATTTTTATCAAACCCTAATTTTAACTAATTGAATAATAAACATAATTATGTTAAATAAGCTCTAACTCCCTTTATGACATATCATAATCCTGAAATCTTTTGGGCAATTTGATTACCCTCTTTTCCTTTATTATAGGAGAGCGATCCTTGCTCTCTGTTTCAGTAGGCTGAACCTCCTTTTGATCCCTATCCCTTATATGTATTTCATTTTTTTCTATATTCACCACTCGTATCTCCTTTTAACAAATAGGAGTCCGGATAATTTGTTTTCTCAACAATAGTACCTGGTTCCCAATATAAATGAGGTAATTTTTTAAACATGACTTTTTGACCAGTTCTAAAATGAGATTTACTTCTTGCTGATTTATCATAGTTATTTTTAACTTTAATTTTTCTTTTACAATCTTTTCTCTATCTGTGGTATATGTAATTTTTGGCACAAGAGTATTAAAATGACATGGAACATTTGTTCTTAAATTTCTAGCCATTAAGTTGGCTGATGGTGAATGTATACCAGCACCCCTTGGGCTAGCCCGATGATTTAGTAACCCCAGATAAGGATCCTGACCAGAATCTACTGATTTTTAAAAAATTGATTTTACAGTCTTAACCGCGCTCTCAGCCAGACCGTTTGACTGAGGGTATTGTGGGCTAGACATAATATGAACGAAACTCCACTCTTTAGCAAACCGCTTGAATAATTCGGAATCAAAGTATAAAGCACCATCTGTGTACAATATCATGAGAACACCATGTCTCGCAAACAAACTTTTAATTTTATCTATAACAGTAGCAGATCGTATGTTAGGTAAATGTACTACTTCTATATAATTTGACAATGCATCAACTAAAACTAAATAATATTTAGCAGCAAATTCAAATACATCACAACCGGTTTCCATCCAGAGTAACAATGGTGTATTCTTATGTCTTAGAGCTAATTTTGCTTTATTATTTTAGAATTTTTGACATGTTAACACATATGACACACGCTGAAGATTAAATTGAAGCAACACCTACTGAAATTACAATGCATGCAATAATTCTGAAATACATACCTCAACCTTTCCATCTACTGTAAAATCATTACATCTATTACAAAATCATTAAAAGGGAACACGCAGAGACATTAAACCATGGGCGAACAATCGCACTCAATGAATATTTTGAGGGAAACCTCATCAAAATTTGTATTCAAGTCACAACTATTACTACTGAAATCCCGTGATAATGTATCAGCTAAGTATAAAAATTTTCCTGAAATGTGTGATAATGATATTCTGTATGGTTGTAATCTCATCATCATTCTTTGAAGCCGTGATGGTATTTTATGTAGAGGCTTTTTAAATACTCCTAACAATGGCTTATGATCTTTAATCATCTCCCTGCCAAATAAGTACTCTCTGAATTTCTCTACCCCAAAGCAAACAGCTAGCAGCTCTTTCTCTATTTGAGAATACCGGATTTGAGTTTCTGTTAGGGCTTTGGAGGCATAGGCCAGTGGATGTCCGTTTTGCAGTAAAACTGCTCCTAAATCTATTGAACTAGCATCAACACTTAACATACTTTCTTCATTTGGATTATAAAAACCCAACACTGGGGCATTACATATACACTTTTTCAAATCACTCAAATCTTTTACTTGTTGTTCTCCCCAAACAAACTCATTGTCATTTTTTAACAATTCTCTCAGTGATGCCGCTTTGTCTGAATAATCTGGAATATACTTAGCCAAAAAGTTAAACATACTTAATAACCGTTGCAGTGACTTTTTATCATGGGGTTCTTTCAATCCCTTTTATCGCTTTAATTTTTTCTGGATCTACGCTGATCCCTTTGTCACTAAATGTATGACCTAAGAATGTCACTTTTCCCACATCAAATTCAAATTTCTTTGGATTAAATTTAATACCATTGGTTTTTGCCGTTTCTAACACTTTTAATAATATATTTTTCAACTCATCCCTATTATTAGCCCACACGAATATATCGTCTTGAAAGGTTTCTTCATTATCTATTGTTCTAAACGTTTCATTTATGATTTTGTGAAAAATTTCTGGTGCTACATTTAAACCAAATGGTAATCTCAAAAATGAATATCTACCCCATGGTGTTTGGAATGTACAAAGTTTAGAACTTTCTTTGCTTAAAGGTAACATCCAAAACCCTGACTGTGCATCCAGCTTACAAAAATGTTTAGCTCCCAATATTTTAGAGGTGATATCGTTTAATGTTGGTAATGGATAGTGTGCTCTTTTAGTCACTTGATTTAATGCCCTAGGATCTAAGCAGATTCTTAATGATCCATCCTTTTTTTTTACTACAACCATTTGGCTAACCCATTCTGTCGGTTCCTCAACTGGCCTAATAATCCCTAACTTAGTCATCTGATCAAGTTCAACTTTTACCTTTTGCTGCAAAGCAAATGGTATTCGTCTGACAGGAGCCACAGAAGGCTTTGCATTTTCTTTTATTTGAATATTAATTTCATATGGAATTAAACCTACCTTACCATTAAATAATTCTTTGAATCGGTTAGGTATCACTGAACCAGCATTAATCAAATCTACTCTCTTGATCAAACCTAAAGTTTCAGCTGTTTTTAACCCTAAATTATTATCACATGTCTAATTAACCACTAAAAAATCAATTTTATAAATACCTTCATTATAATGGCATATCAATTTACATTTTCCTATGACTGGAACTCTATTATTGGTGAGCGATGTTATACAAACTTTACATTCAATTAAATTATTTATATCTAGGCCCAAGTCAATATATTGTTGAATACCAATCACATTGCACTGTGCTCCAGTGTCCACCTTCAATAACAACACTTGTATCCACTTTTATTGAAATCACATACCAGTCCATCTTCTTATTACTTCCTAATGTATTTAATCTGTATTCTTCATCACTATTTTCATGTTCTTTCAATAGATTAATTGATTTCTTTGTTTTACACTTTTTTGCAAAATGGTTCAACTTATTGCATTTGCTACATTTCTTTCCAAAAGCTGGACATTTTCCATATTGATGCTGGTATCCACAATAATTGCATTCTGTTATTCTAGGTCCTGTTTTCTTGTCACGTTGACTTAACACATCAACCATTGTTTCTTCTTTAACCTGCACTGTAGCCTCGTCTTTTTGCATTATGTACTTCTACTTGCCTGGAAATCACTAATTGTGTTCGGCAATACTCTAGTGCAGAGTTGCTATCCAAATTGTGTATTCTCATTAAAGCCTGTTGTATAGCAGTGTCTTGTATATCACATACAAATACATCCTTTACTAGACTCTCTCTCAAATCTTTTAATTCGCATTTTTTTTATATCCGTCATACAGGGTGGCCGGGGAGTTGACGTTAAAGCATAAAATTTAGATACTTTATGATGAGGAGTATCCAAATCACCCCCATGTATGTTCTACGATTTTGCGTAGTTTTCGAGTTATAAATTTTTTAATGATTTTTTTCGTAATTACCACCTAACATCCGTTTTCGATTTTTTTCTCATTCTGTTGGACGTTTCTGGTTCAGTTTTTTTTGTGATAACCGACTAACATAGTCTAACCTAGCACCCTTAAACTTATGGTTTATCTAGGCATTGCAGAATTTACTTAGAATTTGTTCGAAAGTTCAAAATTACGATTTGAGCTCAGTACACACAAATTTTCAAAGTATGAAAAAAAAATGTAAATGTGGGGATTTTGAGTTCAAAGTGCTTTTAGATACTTCCTGAAACATTAAACTTTAAAACAAGGCCAAATAAAGATAGGGTTAATGGGGGTTTTTTTCTGAACTGACCTTCAAAGTAAATTAAGGCATTTTTTGATACTTTGAAAATTTGTGTGTATGTATTGAATTCTGCAATGCCTAGATAAACCATAAGTTTTGAGGTGATAGGTTAGACTATGTTAGTCAGTTATTACAAAAAAACTAAACCAGAAACGTCCAACAGAATGAGAAAAGAATCGAAAACGGATGTTAGGTGGTAATTACGAAAAAAATCGTAAAAAAAATTATAACTCGAAAACTACGCAAAATCGTAGAACATACATGGGGGTGATTTGGATACTCCTCATCATAAAGTATCTAAATTTTACGCTTGAACGTCAACTCCCCGGCCACCCTGTATATTGTTGGTAACTCTCACCTGTCTGTTGTCGCCTTGTCAAAAACCGGTACCTTTCGTAAGTCAGGTTAGTTTTTGGAACAAATTAAAAAATGATGTGGTGTCGTGGGACACCAGGTAGGAACGAAGTTCCTTCGGCTAATGTAGAATCGACACAAATTGCAAACTCGCTTGTGTATGCGACTGTCGCGCCTGCGCACGTCTCATTTAACAATTTTTTTTCCACGCACTTTTTCCACGGATTTTTTCTTACGGTTTTACTATCACATTTTTTGCAGTTCGGTCGCGCAGCAAAATCCCTATCCCCTCCAAGCCTGCCGTAAGGAACTTCGTCGCGCCTGCGCACGTCTCATTTAACGGTTTTATTCCACGCACTTTTTTCCACGGATTTTTTCTTACGGTTTTACTATCACATTTTTTTCAGTTCGGTCGCGCAGCAAAATCCCTATCCCCTCTGTCACCCCCCTGTTAAGTACTGACCTTGTTATCATGTCTAGCTTAAGTTTACAGCAGATGACAGGCGTTCCTGGTCCACAGCTCGGTATAACGTCACAAATATCCAGATTTCGTGTAATGTCACAATATTCCAGTGCTGCACCCTCGTAGCTGTGCCACCCCCTACATACGCACCTTATTATCATGTCCCGCTAGCATTCGTAAAGGACGCTAGGCAGGACTGGCCCACAGTTTAGAATAAACTACAATGTCACAATAATCCAGTGATGCACTTCCAAGTACTCACCTTGTAATCATAATCATGTCTCACAGGCGTTACTGGTCCACAGCTTGATATAACTTCACAAATATCCAGTGTTGGTGTAATATCACAATATTTCAGTGATGCACCCTCGTCGCTCTACCACCCCCTATAACTTCACACATATTCAGTGTTGGTGTAATATCACAATATTTCAGTGATGCACCCTTGTCGCTCTACCACCCCCTATAACTTCACACATATTCACTGTTGGTGTAGTATCACAATATTTCAGTGATGCACCCTCGTCGCTCTACCACTCCCTATAACTTCACACATATTCAGTGTTGGTGTAATATCACAATATTTCAGTGATGCACCCTCGTCGCTCTCTCTCCTACCGTAAGGCACTTCGTCGCGCACGTCTCATTTAACGGTTTTATTCCACGCATTTTTTCTTACGGTTTTACTATCACATTTTTTTCAGTTCGGTCGCGCAGCAAAATCCCTATCCCCTCCAAGCCTGCCGTAAGGAACTTTCGTTCCAGTAACAATTATTTTTTTTCAAAACAACACTTAGCCTATTTTTATCATCTTCTGTTAACTCAAATGAGTCATACACTTCTCTCGCTTCGTGCCCGGCGTGATGCAATAATATAGCCACTTTTTTCTTTTCCGATGCATCATCGTAATACGCTTCTATGAATGTTTCAAACTCACGACGAAACCGGCTCTAGTTCTTACCCACGTCTCCGTCCATGCCCAGCACACTGAGATTTGCCGCTGTCACCATGTTTTGTATCGCCTTTACTTATTAGGAGTATATATTCAAACAGCTTGTTTATAATCACTTTTCTTTATTCTTTTTCTCACAGTGTACATTATCAATCAGTCGCCATCTTATTCTAAAAGTATCCATAGACTAACCAATCATACGTAGATGACACACAGGCCATAGAGTATACAATCATTACAAACTAATATTACTACAGACATTATTCACAGAAATATTCATTCAATAAATAAAACGAATTTATAAATATTTTCTTATGATCAGCGATCCTATATGCAGGTATCTTATTGATATTTGTTTAACATTTCGAATTTCCTAAAATACAAATGCCGATTTATGTGGCGAATAAGTAAATTATGTATACTTAATACTTTTATGTCACAACAGTCACTTCTTAATGATAATAATAGAAACAAATTAATTTAGTTTACCTTAATCCCTTAAAGATTCTGTCAAAATTCTGGTGGTTAAATGTTAAAAATGATACATATTATATTTAATTGATTGAAACTTAAAAAGCTATTCAAAACTAGAATATAGTTACTATAATACTATTTAAATTTAAATATTGTTAGACCAAAATAAAATAAGTTTTGTAAAATTAATAATTCGATAAATTTTATGAGACGCGCATTTAGTTTTACAGAAGTAATTAAGTCTTCTAATTTCGAATACGAAACTTCATAGGCACACAAACGTCAACACGGTCATCTAGCCTGCCGCTACTTTAGCCAAACTACCCTGCCACCATGCATCACAGTCACAGACATTGCCGATATGACCCAATAATGAGACTAGTCTAAGCTTCAAAACGATGGACTAGTCCGCCCAATTCTTATCACAAGCATTCAGCTTGCATCAGTTTTTCAAGTATTTAGAGAGACTACCATGTAGAGAGATATGATAATATTCTCAAATAATGATATTGTAATTAACCTTGGTATTTCTGTTTTAGGTGAAGATGACAATGGCCCAGCTCTACCAACAAGGGCCACGGAAGAGTTCAGGCCGTTCATAAGACGGCTCCCGGAATTCAAATTTTGGTTATCTGTAACGAAAAGCACAGTCTTTGCATTCTTTTGCACATTCATTGATGCATTCAATATTCCAGTATTTTGGCCAATTTTAGTCATGTATTTCATAACGTTATTCTGTATTACAATGAAGAGACAAATTAAGGTGACATATGTACATTATTTATTATTTTATGAAAATATTCCTCAAATTAGTTTTTTTAACCAACAACTTTTAACTTTCAGCACATGATCAAATACAGGTACCTGCCGTTCACCCATAGTAAGCCAAAGTACAAAGCCGTTGACTCTGCAGTAACTATAAACTGACGACTTATCTACGTTACGTTGTGTAAGATCGTGGGATTCAATAGTGAAATTAACTAAAAGAAAACTGTTGTATGTTTCTAGAAATACAGTTTATTGTAATGTTTTATTATCTTTGATTTAAAAGAACGAGCCAAAGTGTTATTTTTTTATTATTATGGCTGAGTTGAGGTTTCATGTGTAAAAAGACATAATACTTTATTTCGAAAACGCAAGTGATTATATTATAAGATGGAGCATTGTAAATCATTTAATTGAACAATACATTTTGTATTAAGTAAAATCTTAACATGAAATATACTGCTGTTAAAAAAAGTAGCTCCTCGAATGTTTATTTTTACGATAAAATCTATGTTATATTGATGAGCTGTCTCCTCGTCGCCCATTGATTTTGTATTAAGTATACAGAACCTGTTACTAATAATTTATCTACTAGTCTAAATCGTATACCAATGGTGTAACTAAATAAGAGAGAGTCGATAAAATCGTACCGACGTGCGTTTTAATCGTACCATTTCTGGATTACCCTAAGACATCATATATATTTTAACGCTGGCAACCATTGATGTATAAAAACAAAATATACTCACAGTCGAGCTCAAAAAGTGTCAGAAGCAAAATTACGCACACGCTTTTATTGTGCGTAACTTTCAAACAGTCGTGTTTCGACCACGCTTTGATTCCAACGCCACGCAATGTCAGTGTTCGGTTAAAAACTGTGCAAATGACACCAGATCGACACTTAAAAACATGTATCGTCTCAGGAAGGTGTCCCTTTAAACTAAAAAAATACCCAACTGTCTTGGTATTTTCTATCGTACAGCTAATTAATTTACATTTTAATAGCTACAACAAAATATCTTTCATCGTATGCGCCCCGCGCGTCACGTGTTCGTTTATGTCTCTTTCGCACAACGATATTAAATAACCTAGGTACACCAACACGAACAAAATCGTGCCCGAAACCTGTCGAAAAGGTATATTGGACGATCCACGGAGCTCGGTAAAATGATCGCGTTGTCAAATCCAATATAAGGCATTATTTAAACATTGAAAGTCACCTTTAATGCACACTGTATAAGGTCTTAATTAAAACGAATGCGTCAAAGAGCTATGACAGTTCGAAATGCAATCTCGTAAAATTTTACGACTTATTACTATATACGGAAGAATAAAGACCTTATTTCTATGACTCTACGCGCAATTCTGAATGCGCTGTTTGCAATATAGCAGGTATGGACCGCGAGGAAAAGGAGGGCTATATAACCTACCATGCCTTTACCAAATATCTCAAATATTTTCTATCAAATCAGTTTAAAGTAATTATTAGAACAAAATTAGCTTCAAATGCGTTAAATTTACTGCCATTGATTAGATACCCGTCGAAAAAACGACACTACATACGAAAAGTATTTTATTCGCATTTTTTCACGGAACTCTGCGGCAACTTGGCTTTTCAACGGTCCGCGCGTGGCTGTGAACCAAGAAGTGCTTGAGTGAGTGGTGTTCAAGCACTTCTTGATTGGGACACATTTTGAGCGCACGTGGTGTATCTAATCAAACTCTTTCTGTCTTGTATACTATTGACATTGAATCTTACTGCCGCGATATAAAGTCTTAAAGTGCGTCAAGGATTTTTATAAATGTGGCGATGGAGTAACGCCGTCATCTTGTGTAAACGTCATAATTTGTATGACATTTACGGTCATTTGCGTACGGACAGCTGCTCTAAACTGTTACATTTATAAAGATCGTTGTTGCACTCTAATTTGAACAAATTTGCGAATGTTATCTGTATAAGTTGATAGTAACTATATAATATTAGGTTGGAAGAAAAGTTTCTTCGCATTTTATATGAAAATTCAAAACATTTTTTCATAAATGTTGTTTACATTTAACTTAAGTACGTAGGTGCCATTTTGTTCGACAACTTTTTGCCATCTTGTAGGTAGGGACATGATCTCATTGCTATTAATTTTGAGCCTTCTGATCAAAAAACCGCGACAAGTGATTTTGACAGTCCTCTCGTGATGTTAACCTGATACTGCCTAAAGAATTCTGAAGAGACCGATACAGGTGGAGATCTGAAGGCGCAAGGTCAGGACTAAACGGCGGATACATTAACACCTGCCAGTCAAACTCCCTTGATTTTTGCTGAGTGGCTAAATATGTGTGAGGCCTAGCGTTATCATGATGAAAAACCACACCCCTTCTGTTGATTAATTCCGGCCACTTTCTCTCAACTTCCAGCTTTAATCTCATTAGCTGTTCGCAGTAAAGTTCAGAATCGATGTTCTGCCTGGCGGTAACAGCACATAATGAATAATGCCCTTCCAATCCCACCATCACATTACCTTGTTGCGAGTTACCCCGGGTTTCGCCAGAGTCTGAAGCCTGACCGGCCTTTGACCACGACCTTTTTCGCAAGTTCTTGTCGTACGTGATCCACTTTTCATTACCAGTTATCAACTTCTTCAAAACTGGTTCGGTTTTATTACAGCGTAATAAAAAATCACAAATGAGTACACGGCTCGTTAGTTTTCTTTCAGTGAGCTTGTGAGGCACCCAAATATCGAGCTTTTTTGTGTAACCAGCTCTTTTCAAATGCGCCAAAACTGTTTTGTGGTCAATTTCCAGTTCTTCAGCCACGTCGTAACTATTGATATGCCGAGCTTGCTCCACTTTTTCAAAAATGCCATCTATTTATTATGTAACGGGGCTAACTGAGCGACGTGCGTCTTTGACATCAAAATTTCCGGATTGAAAACGCTTAAACCTCAGACACTGCACTAGGTCCATGAACATCACAAATTTTTTTCGCGGCTTGCGTTGCATTTTTACTACTTTTGTAGTAAAATATTAAAATGTATCGAATTTCTTCATTAGATTCACTAATCTTGACAGTAAGAAAAACAAATGAAAAAAAATCGCACATTTTTCTAACTTGAATTTGGATTAAAATTAAAACTTTTTTAAAATACCTAAACCAACCAATACAATGAGGTTCTTTGAGATGTTTTGATGAGATACTTTAAGTACCTAACTATCAAATACTCAAAAGTGGGAATAGACCTGTGTACAGGGCCGTAGCTAGGGGAGGGGCATTATAGGGCAATACCCTTCCTTTAAGTACCATTGCCCTACGTGAAAACGTGGCGGCAGGCAGCGAAGGGCGGCACGGCTAGGGATGCAAAGTCTTTTGAAATATCGATATTTATATCGAAGTCAGGAAAATATCGATATCCGATATATCGACCATTTTAACTCGATATTATCGATATATCGATATTTTTTCTTTTTTTTGCTTTGTATTAAGTTTGCAAAGCAAAAACCTATAATTAAGGGAGCAAAGGTTTCCGAAATATCGATATTTATAATGTGGGCAGGTAAATATCGATATCCGATCCGATATATCAGCCATTCCAACATTTTCTATATTTTTATAGCGCTGTAAGAAGTATCAAATCAAAAGCAATTTCGAATCAAAGATATTTTTTTTGTTTAAAATGTTTGCACGCAGCCAAAATCAGAATAGATAATCATATGAAAAACAATTGTTATGTATTAGTAAAACCTACACATCAGGGGCGTGCCCATGGCTTTAGAATAGGGTAAGCCCAAAGCTTCCAAAATTACTATACCTATCTTACTTTCTTGGCTTGGCGAGCTTAAAAAAATTACGATTTGTATAAGATAAGATTCTTAATTTTATTTTGTGTTATATTACAATGATATTAAATTTTAATTAATCAGTAGTTGACAATTATCTAGAAAGAGAGGCAAGTATTTTATTTAAATGCATGAGTTACCATTAGGTATACGATTATACCTATATACGTTGGTGTCGATTCTGGCATGATTATCTAAACTTAAAACTAAATTTAACATCAGTCTCTCCTTTTCATTCTGTATAGAGAATGACAAGGATACACTGTTGTAGTTTAGTATATTTCTTGGGGTTCTAGATTTTTTAATACATCTATAAGCTCTTGCGATTTCAAAGCAATAGTTATTTCGATATTATTCAATTTAGATAGTCATAGCAGGTAAATCAATTGATATTATTGTGTTTAAATTTAGTCCACGAAATATCGATATTTTGGAATTTCCGATATCGATATTATCGATATCAGTGAATTTCAAATATCGATATAAATATCGATATTTTGGTCTCGATATTATCGATATTCCGATATATCGTTGCAACCCTAGGCACGGCCTTACCTATTTTACCCTACCTACCTGTAATTACAGCTGCCTTACCTTAGAAACAACTAGCTACGGCCATGTCTGTGCAGTGTTTTACACCTGTGCAGGCAACCGGGCAGCGATACCGTACGGTGTAACTGTGCGTGTGCATGTACTCCGCTCGCTTGCATAGGTCGCGTCAGTTGTTTATCTCGTTGTATTTTATGATTTGATAACTTTCTTATAGTAGAGTAAACCAGTCTGTCTGACTTCCCTTCCTCTCACGCATACAGCAGCGGTAGGCAGGCTCCTCCTCTCTGACTCTAACCCGCAGCGCCGCTTAGATTAGTTATCACTTCTGTCGTGTGTCCCACCGAGACGCACACGCTTGTTTTCGCTTTCATTTCACTGTTATTTCTGTGTCCTATGTATGTTAAGAGATCAAAATCGAGCATCGTCGACCTCAACCACAACGAGTTTTGACTACACCGCAGTGTAGTCAAAACGTAAGAAGTACCTCTCTACATTGCTCGTGGTGCAAGACAGTGCCAAAGAAATTAGTATAGGTTTTCTGGTTGGAGGAAAGAATGGTTCCGCCTCCTCTAACAACTCCGCAAAGTTCCAGTGCGGATTTAAGGGAATCCAAATACGGGATGAAGATCGATCGCTTTCAAAAATCGCATGGAGTCTCAGCAGGATGATTGGACTGATGTCGTTGGCGAAATGCAATGCGCGGGTTATGTAAATCAGTTCCAATGACAGCTGCAGTTTCCGTAGAAGTGTTGAAGACATATTGGAATTCCTGATCCGCGTTACTGAGATGCTTCTTTCATATATGTATTTCTATTGTCTTTGATTATAGGGCATTGGCAACAGGTTCCAATATTCCTGAGTATTTTCCTATCAAACCAGCAGATATAAAAAATTCTTACTTGGTAGCAGCACAATATAAGTGGTAAGCGTTTTTTCTCGCTGT